GTGTAATGATCAGGCTGTTCGCCTTTGTACTCGTAAGACGTGAGACGCATGACTAGTTCCATGTAGGAAAGTCTATTATATATAACTACTATTACATGTAGTACTGTCGCGCTTTCCGTCTTTCTGCTGTCATAGTGTTTCCCGCTCAGCCCTATTTGGTTCAGGTCAAAAGGGTCGAATCAGCCAGCTTCCTGAATTATCGGAATTGTGGCAAATCGGAGCAAAACGTTTGCAATCAGCCAGAGCTCTAGCAACAACAGCAATAATTTTAATAACAGCAACTGTATAAAAGGGTTAAATATTAACAATAACAGCATCGACAGCATTCTTTCAAGCTGCCGCAAAAATAACCAAATGTTTTTTTGCAACGACAGCGATAACAACAATAACAACAGATGCTACATCAAAACTACAGGTCACACCACCACTATCAACAACAACAACAACAACAACAACAACAACAACAACAACAACAACAACAACAAAATTAACAACAACAGCATCATCATCAACGACGACGACGACAAAAACGACAACAACAACAATTACAACAACATCATTATCATCAACAACAGCAACGACGATACGAACACAGCCATCAACAATAGCAACACAGTTGTTAGGGAGGCACCCCTGTAAGGGTAAGGTTTTCACTTCTTTTCCCTCCATATTATGCTGTCTCTGACTGCATGTCTTGCATGCTCTTTCCAAACACTAAATGATCGTCATTGCGCCTGGGCGTTTTTCTTTGTTCAAAATAACGTCAACAATAACAACAGCCACAGCAACATAAGAGAAACAAACAACAATAACAACAACAACAACAACAACAACAACAACAACAACAACAGCCGTAGCAACTACACCAGACACAACAAGCTCACTGACAGCAATGACAAGAGTCAACAACAACAACAAAAATAACATAAATATAAAGGAATTTGTATTAATTAATGCAGTTGCAACTACAGACGTGGCCATAGCTGTTAACTCCTCTCACCGAATCCAAGAGCGCGGTGACGTCATTCAAGCCATCCATCAGTCTGTCAGTGGCCCTAGTTGTGAAACTTTCCGCTGCCAATTTTCTTTCCATGAAGGGTGTAGTAAGTTTTGTAGCAATGGCTATCACTTCTACAAAACAAAACAAGATATTTCCATCTGTAGGCTGTCCATTAAAAAAAAATGGTTGTTTCAAAAATGTTTCTTCATATTTAATTGTAATTTTAAAAATTAAGATTCTGTCGTTTTCTACCACATATTATTGTATATTTTCTCCACACTTAAAGAGCCATGACTATGGGAACTTTGGACTCGAAGGACCTTTCCTACGGCATAAATGGTTTAGTTGTTACTTTTACCAATACTCAACCGTGAGGTCGTAGGTTTGAATCCCGTCAACGGCTCGACATTGTGTCTTTTGAAAAGGATCTATACACTATTTTTTTTTACTTCACCCAGATGGGAGTGGACACTTGCTATAGGCAGTGAAAAATCTTGTCAGTTTGTTAGTGATGTAGCGTGCGCTATGCGGTATGCTTCCTGGGAATCCGAGAATGTTTCCGATTTGTGGTCTAGGCAGATTGTGCTGGGCCGGGTATTAATAGTTGTGATTCGCATATAGCATGTTGTTGAACGTGGATATGCGCTGTATAAATGCAACTACGTGTATTATTATCCTGCCTTACTGCATTGTCCCACTTTCATACAAAATTCGATCAATTTAGTACAGCATATACGATAATCTCAGTTATGGTCTGGGCCACAGCATTTACAATTCACAACATAAACACACGTTGTGGTGGCAGTACTGTTGGGGGCTTTTTTTCTTTACAATATCAAAGCTTTAAATCAGATATTTTGCTATAAGCACAAATTGAAACCTGAGCAGCAGTGTCATGATAGTTCCTCCTGCTGCTGCTGCTGCTGCTGCTGCTGCTGCTACAACTACTACTACTTAGGTTTTCTCTATGACCATTTTGCAACAAAACACCCTGTCTTTTGCCATTCTTCCAGTATGTCCGGTTCCTATCGACTATTACTACCGTTATATTATACAAATGGAGGAAACTGGAATTGCTTTTTGGTTGTCTTTCCCTCTACCCTATGAAACGAGTACAAGAAAGAAAGTAGATCTATACTTTGATTCAAACCTTATCCATTTGAAGATCAATCGCAATCACTCATTAATTCTTGTGAATTAACATGAATCTCTGATAAGACCAAAGGGTCTCGAAAACACAGAGGCTGACGTTTAAAAAAAACATAAGGCATATTATATGTTATCAAAGATTTTTAAAAAATTGTGTTACCTTTAGGCGTTAGATTCTGTCCATATGAAGCTTGTAAAATCAACAGCACGGTTTGCAGGGTCCAGAGCAGCCTTGGCAGTGGCTTCATTCTGGGATTTTTTTCTTTCACCGATGACTTCAACAAGCAGTTTTCAGAAAAGGTGAAGGAGGAAGTTATTGGGCTAGAAACGGGAGTGAAAAAAACTAGTTTATTACGTCTAACATTCTTTTTTTATAACCTTCAAGTCAACAGTGCATGTCGATCACACATTTTTAGCCTTTTTCAACGAATGAGCAGAAGCAGACAATATATTACAAAAGCTTATGAGAAACCCAGAGTGGAAGAAGCGACAACAGCGACGACGACAACCACAACAACAATAACACTGGCAACAAATACGACAGGAACGACGAAACAGCAACAACAACAAGGAGAATGGAAGGGAAACACGTCAGAAAAGACAGAACAAGACTGAAAAAGAATAATGAAGAAAGTGCTAGTTGGGACTTGGGTGGTGATTTTTGTATATTTGGGAAAGTGG